TTAATTCAAAGGGGCTTTATTGGCATGAAAGTTAAATTAAACAATGTTGCCAAAGCATCACAATACAAGATAATTAACAACATTAACATACATTTCAAATGTTTACATATTATTGATGATATATATATATACAGTGATACACACACGTGTTGAAATGTAATTGTGTGTGTGTGTGTGTGTGTCTCATTCACTGTCCCTCAGGTTGTGGCATGTGTATACATATTGGGCAGCAAGATGTGCCTTGACTCCTTCTCCTAAAAGTACTCTCAGTCTTGAGAGGTCATCAACCTCCTTGAAACCTGGGATTACAGAGTTCAACTTGTTTCAGTAAACGCTCCTTACTTCGTTGAATGTTCAGGAGGAAGTGCATCTCTGTCTCAGTCTCACCTGTCGTACAGTGACCACATATTCTGTTCTCTTTTGGTTGCCAGGATCTTTTGAGTCTTCCCGTTTCGATTGCCAGTTTGTGGTCACTGAGCCTGTACTTGGTTAGGATCTGTCTCTGCTTTCTATCTCTGACAGTAGAGAGATATTCTGCCAGCTCATACTCTCTGTTTAGAGCCAGGTAACATTCTAATCTACTTTGGCTTTTAGTTTCTTCTTCCCAATGTTGTAAATAGTTGTCTTTGCATTGTGTTATAATGCGTTTCACTGTGATTGGTGTTTGGAGAGCAGCTAGCCTCAGCACCAGCTGACATAGGGGACTCTTCTCTGGGGTTAGTTCTTGGCTTTGGAGGGCTTTGGAGTGGAGGGTGTCTCGGGGGCTGGATCTAAGGTGGTTAAAGAATGTCAGTGCTCTCTTTTGAGTGTTAATGATCAGTGGGTATCTGCCTAATTCTGCTCTACATGTTTTTCTCTGAACACATAAAATGTATCTGCAGAATTCTGCATGTAAAGACTCTGTTGGATGTTTGTCCCAGCGGGTATAGCTCTGGTGACTGAGTGGACCCCACACTTCACTACCGTACAGCGCAATGGGCTGGATCACACTATCAAAGATTTTGAGCCAGATTTTAATTGGAATTTGGACATTATAAAAATGTTCTCTTAATTGCATTTAGAGCTCTTCTGGCTTTTTCTTTGAGTGCATTCACTGCCATGTTGAAACTTCCTGATGCTGTTATGGTTAAACCGAGGTAGGTATAACTCATACTATGTTCGATGATATGATTGTTTATGATAAACTGGTATTTGTTCTCCTGACATCTGGGGCGTTTTTGGAAAACCATGACATTAGTTTTCTTCATATTGACTGCCAGGGCCCAGTTCTTACAGTACTGGTCTACTATGTCCAGCTGTTGTTGTAGTCCTTGTTCAGTAGGAGACAACAGGGCTCGACAGTAACGGTTGCCCTTGGCAACCATTCAGAAAAAATGTCAACCACTTCTTGGCCTTTGGTTGCTATCAGTGGCAACCAGTTTTTAACATAAATAAATAAGGACAGCAAACAGCAAAATGTGCACCCCAAAAGAGATACATGTTAATTATTTGTTGTATTAAGAGTGATATTTAATTATTGTTGTGACCAGTCGGAACCTGATACTTAAGTTGCACGTGCATTGGTGTGATTACGGAGACAGAAAGCGATGCACGTTTACTCGCGTGCGTGGTGCGCCCAGGGTGCGCCGTGTGTTTGTTTTACAAAAAATGGCGAAGCAAATTAAGTTGTTTTACTGTGGGGTAAAAAGTTCGGCCAACCCGTCAACTTCTCAAACAAATGTTCAAAGTGATTCAACTGATAAAGCGTAAGGTGAACCCGAACGAAAAGCAAAGAGGAAATGTGTAAAGTCTTGGGATGCTAAATATATATTTACATTCTGCTCCATTGTGCATTCACTTCCGGTAAAAGTTCCTTCAAAATAAGAGTCCCGATCTTATTACTACCAAAATAAAAGTGCTAAACGAAACTTTACCATGGGAAAATATTGGCATACAAATATAATCACTTCTATAAAAAGGTAACACATTTTAAATATAGTTAGACATATTAAAAAGGTAATTTACAGCATTAATAATTCATATCTAATTCTTAACTGTGAATGGTTTTCATTTATTTAACATTAGAAATGTATTAGTCTGGCCAATGACAGAACCACAATCAAGACTTCGATGCTGAAGGGCCAGTGGATCTATGGTGGGGGTCAGCACAAAGGTCAATAAACTAGTGACTTGCCCAATTCATTTGTGAGGGATCTGTGAAGAACAGGACAACAGCTGCACTACTGGCATTTAGTATACCAGCAATTGAGGGTGGACAAGTTTACTGCCACTTAAGTTTCAAATAATTGTGTTAATTACTTATTGTAAAGCATTTGAACATTCTTTTGTGTCACATGTTCATTATTAAGTTGATGTATAACTGTATAGTATCTTAATTATTTAAAATATAAGGTGACTAAAAATGGCAACCGTATTTTCAGTTTTGGCAACCAACAGTTGATGCCTGGTTGCCAGCCTGGCAACCACTTTTAAAAGTTAGCGTTGTGCCCTGAGACAGCAGAACAAGGTCATCGGCATAAAGCAGACACTTCACCTCTCTCTCTAGGAGGGAGAGGCCAGGAGCAGCACAGTGATCCAACTGAACAGCAAGTTCATTTATATATATATTAAATAAAGTGGGACTTAAATTGCAACCCTGACGAACACCTCTTCTCTGGGTGAAGAATTCAGTTTGTTTGTCTCCAATTTTAACAGCACACTTATTCCCTAAATACATTGATTTAACCAGATCGTACATTTCGCCCCCTATACCACAATGTAGACGTCTATAATAGAGCCCTTCGTGCCAAATAGAGTCCAAAGCTTTTTTGAAATCAATGAAACAAGTGAATATCTTACCATTTTGTGTTTGGTGTACATGTTAGTTAACTAAAGTGTGAAGGGTATACACATGGTCGGTGGTGCGGTGTTTTGGAAGGAAGCCAATTAGATTTTGACTCAAGGTGGATTGTTGGTTAAGGAAATCTTGTATTCTTTTATTTAGAATGCTACAGAATAATGTCCCCAGACAGCTGCTGACACAGACGCCACGGTAGTTCTTAGGGTCTGATTGTCTCCACTCTTATGAATGAGGGAAATGAGCCCTTTGCACCAGATGAAAACATCCTGACTGCAATACGATACTGAACAGCTTGAACACTGTACCTGCATCTCTGGGGTGCTGCATCTGAGCATTTCGTTTTGAATGTTGTCTGGGCCACAAGCTTTCCTTGGCCGGAGAGATTGTGTCTGTGTGGTCAACTCTTCCCAAGTCATTGGGAAATCAAGGGGCTTTTGGTTGTCTTTAATAGTTTCTTCTAATGTTTGGAGTTGTTCTTTTGTAATACATTGATCTGAATTCATTAGATTTATTGGTATGTCTTTGTACAAACTTTCAAAATGTTCTCTCCAGATGTCACCGTTTTGGATGGGTAATGCTTGTGGTTGTTTTGTGTTGAAGTTGTTCCACAGATCCCAGAATTGATTTTGATCAATGGCTTTCTCAATATCCTCAAGTTTCATGTGGGTATCATTTTGTTTTTTGTTCCTTATTGTACATTTATATTTGTTTAAAACGTCATTGTATCTAATGCGTAAGGCTGGGTTGTTTGGTTGCTGATGTTTTTCATTTGCTATTTTTCTCAGGTCTTTTCTGATGGTCTTGCATTCCTGGTCAAACCATTTGCCTTTTAACAGGCTTCCGCTTTTGTTTGATTAGGTCAGCTTTAATAGCTGCCTTGTGAAATATCATATTGATATAATCAATGGCCATGTTTACACCATCTTTGGTAGGAACATATTGATTTTGGTCAAACAGTGACATGTCATTCATCAGATCAAGGCCATGGTGAATTTGTCTCCACTGTCTGGGGCCCACCTGTAAGTAGGATGTAATGCAGCTTACTGGGTTCCCTTGTTGTGTCACTCATTGGACCTGAGAGTTTAAAGAACACATTGATTTGGTTGTGGTCTGAAAAGGGGGATTGCTGTCTGACAGTGAATGTACTGATAGTGGAGGGGTCCATGTCAGTGATTGCATAGTCTACTACACTAGACCCTAGAGCTGAGGAGTAAGTGAATCTCCCTAAAGAGTCCCCTCTGAACCTCCCGTTCACTATGTACAGGCCTAAGGCCCGACAGAGATGCACTATCTCTTTGCCATTCTGATTGATTTCAGAGTCAAGGCTGTTCCGATGGCTGACGGTTGGTGTGGTAAACAGGGGGGGGTTCACCAAATACATGGTGGCTGCCCTGTGGGTCTATGACATCAGGTTCAAGTCTCTCCTTCTCTCTCTCTCTCTCTCTCTCTCTCTCTCTCTCTCTCTCTCTCAGAGGCCGTCCCTGGGTCTATCCGCACAGCAGAGCACTTTGTCCGTTTCCTAAAACGTTTCCTGGAGTATCTGAAGTCCCGTCTCAGGGTCCATCATGTGGTACAGGAGAGCACCCCGCAGTTCCTCAAAGACATCTTCGACAAAGTCTGCATCGACCGCAAGCCCCTCAGGTCAGTGAAAGCCCTGTCTTTGGCCAAACTTACCAAACTATCACAGGCTCTGGACATCAGAACCAATCACTTTCATTCTCTAACCTTTCCATAGCAGTTTCCTCAGACCACACCTTGAATAAGTCTTGTCTCTCCCCCCCCCCCCCCCCCCCCTTATGTCTGCAGGTTCTGTGCAGAGCGGTTACAGTCGCTGCTCCGGACCCTGGAGATCGCAGACATCGCAGACTTCTCAGCTATTACTCTCATCTCCAACTTTGCTACCCTCGTCAGCACCTACAGCCAAGGTGCTCAAACACTTTACCTTGAATTACTGAACATCACACACTGTTATCAATATCACAGTGAAGTGATATTATGTTTCAACAAATCCTTTGTTTGCATTTCTCTCTCTCTCTTTCTGAAGGTTTCACCATCATCATTGAGCCCTTTGAAGACAGAACTCCCACCATCGCTAACCCCGTGCTGCACTTCAGGTGGGGAGAGTTCAATCTTTATCGAAGCAATCCACTGATGATTGTGAAAATGGGTCAAATGTTGGTAGACTTTGTGTTTGCTGTGAGCAGCTGACCAAGTTTTGAGAAATGTCAGCAACAAAGACAAGAAGTTTCTTCATACTAAAGGCCAGAAAAGCAAAGCAGTTCTTTTTTTCTTTTCTTTTTCTTTTACAATTTGACACAGCTGTTGCCTGTAGTTTTATTTATATAATGTTGTCTCTCCTTCCTAGGAGAAGGATCCATATCAGTTCCTCTTCCTTAGGTTCTATTCTGTTTTCAAGGAGCTACGAATAGGTTGTGCTGTATAGATTCTATAGCCTGTGTGAAATAGAATCAACAAGTTGGATGTCATCTTTAATAAGTTGAGGGAGGCGTGTGGCGCAGTGGATAGAGCTCAGGTTCAAACCCCACTGCAGTCAGCATGTCGTTGTGTCTCTGAGACACTTCACCCCAAAGTGCTCCTTTGGGGATTGCCCACAGTATTGAGTTTGTAGGTCGCTTTGGATAAAAGCGTCTAACAAGTAGCATGTAATGTAACATGTAATGATAACAGGTTACAGTGGGACAAACATGTGAGACGATGCAGCCCTAAATCTGATTGATAAACGTTGAAACATCAGGTTAACACGTGCTCTGTGTTCCTCCCAGCTGTATGGACCCGTCTATCGCCATCAAACCAGTGTTCCAGAGGTTTCAGTCGGTCATCATCACCTCTGGGGTGAGTTATACTCTGCTTTCATCGCTGCTCACTTTAGTCCTGTTTAGTCCCATCTCATTTCATTAGCCGCATTCACACCGCAGGACTTTCCCTGGTACTTTGGTTCTTTAGTTCCATTAGTACCAATAATGTTGCGTTCACACCGCCGGGACTACTCAGTGCCGGGAACTCTTTTGGCCATTTTCAGTCCCTGCTAGAGAGGTGGTACGAACCTGGTGATAAAAGAGTGCCAATTTCTATTCTATTTCTATTGGCTGGGCGAATTGCAAACCACGCCCCGTTAGACTCTGAATTTTTTTCGTTAGGCAGCCATTTTTTTCCTCGCTACAAAACCACATCCACATCCACACCTGAGCGAGTAGTTTTTTTGTACTTTAAAGCAGTTATGACCACACGTACTACAACACCGGAGCGGTGGAATGATGAGGAAGTGTCGGCGCTTCTGGCAATTTACTCTGAGGACGGGATGCAGCAGCTTCTACAGAAAGCAGTTCCCAACTCCAAATGTTTTGAGCGATGTTCGCAAAAGCTACTTGAGCTGGGAATCGTACACAGTGCACACGGATGCCGGGTAAAAATAAAGAAACTCAGGCAGGACTATACAAAAATTAAAGACCACAATAATAAGAGTGGTAACGATGTTCTATTGTTATTATATATATATATATTGCCACTGTTTTTTAATACTGACACCTAACTTGCACTAAGGTGTGTCTGCTGCTATATATATTGCCACTGTTACATTGTTTTGAAACTACTTACACTTTATTTTACATTTCACACTTTTATTTAACTTCAATGTACATGCATACGACACACCTGGAACAGCGTGATGCCGTTATTGTTATGTCTTGACTGTGCAATAAAACAAACAAACTGGCGAAGCTTTATTTATTGTGTCCCACCCCAAATGTGCAGAATAGAAGAATGTGAGAGCAGACAGGTGTCGGTGGTTGAATTTATCTACAATGTTGCAACCTTGTGCAGCAATGGCAGGGGCAGAAACACAAGTCTTACACACATAAACACAAGTAATTTATCATGTCATTTGTTTTAGATAAATAAGGGAAAAACACCAAACAAGGGTTAATGTCCTTTTCCAAAATCAGCCTGAGGGGGTAATATATAATAAATACATAAAGATAAAGTCCATTGTTATAATGGGGTATTTTATTTGTAAATTACCCTTATGAACTCCATCATGTCTGAGGTCGGAAAGTAAACAAACGCCTCATACAGCGGGTGGGCTTTATACCCCCTCCCCCCGTGTAGTTCTTCTTCTCTCGTTTTTTTTTGTACCTGCCGTGAAGTGGTTTTGCAGCCTGCCAGTAAACCCAGAGAAGAAGAAGACGAAGTGACGTCAGCGTAATCTTGCCTCAGGGAAAGTACTGCGGTGTGAATGCGATTGGCACTAGCCCCATGGCGGATTCAGTGCCGTGGTACTTTAGTGCCGGCACTAAAGTACGGCAAGTCCTGCGGTGTGAAAGCGGCTATTGTTCCTGAATACATTTCTTTAAAAAAAAAATCACAGTTAGTAGAGAATTATTGCTTTTTTATTCACACTTAATATATATATTTGTATTATGACATGATAATACATGACAGTCTGTGTTCCCTACTTACTGTAGGTGTGCACTGATAAATGAATACTGCTCTCATATTGACTCTCCTCTCCTTCTGGTTGACCTCTCCAGACTCTCTCTCCTCTGGACATCTATCCCAAAATCCTCGACTTCCGCCCTGTTACCATGGCATCCTTCACCATGACACTGGCCAGGACCTGCCTCTGTCCTCTGGTGTGTAACTACAGTCAGACACACACAAAGACGCACTCACTTCTCTGGATTCTAAAATAAATTATGGAATTAGTCGAGGGTTGAGTTTGACAAATTGTGTCATAAAAATCCTTTAATCATATCATTTCCAATTGTATTACTGAATTTTATTTCTTTTTTTCCTCCATTCTGTCTTCCCCAGATTGTTGGCAGGGGGAACGATCAGGTGGCCCTGAGCTCAAAGTTTGAGACCAGAGAAGACTTCGGTTAGTACTAATATAAAAGCACGTTGGCCCAAAAACAGCATCAAAGGATGATATCATTTAACCAAAAAAATACAATATTATTCAGTGAAAACTGAAGCTAAAACAATATTTAATTTGAAAATGTTTGTGCTTCCAGCTGTGATTCGTAACTATGGCAACCTACTCCTTGAGATGTCTGCAGTCGTTCCCGATGGCATCGTGGCATTTTTCACCAGCTACGTCTACATGGAGAATATCGTGGCGTCGTGGTATGAACAGGTCAGTGTGTGGAGAAAAACAGCACACACACACACACACACACACACACACACACACACACACACACACCCCTGGGTGACAGCACTGTACCCTTAACATGGAACATCATTTATTATTTGTGTCATTTGGTATAAGCGGTTTTCTCCTTAAAGCAGAATGGAGCATGGTCTCTTTGTATAAAGAAGAGAGCACAGTGTCATCATCTGATTCTGAAAAGACGTTTGTCTGCAGGGGATCCTGGAGAACATCCAGAGGAACAAGCTGATCTTCATCGAGACTCCGGACGCTGCAGAGACCAGCATGGCTCTGGAGAAATACCAGGAGGTCAGACTCGCTAACCTCTTACTATTATTGTTATTATTATTATATAGACCACAGCTATCTGTATTTGAGGCATAAAAGACATTTAATGTTGCTAAGATGCAAATAGATAATCAATGTGGTGATTTGTACTATTTCCCATTAGCAGTGTAAAAAAAGAATAAAAGCAAACTCATGATAATGTTTCATCTTCTGTGCAGGCCTGTGAGAACGGCAGAGGAGCCATCCTGCTGTCTGTGGCCAGAGGAAAGGTGTCTGAGGGAATAGACTTTGGTATGCTACACATGTGATAAAGATTTAGTAATGCAGCTTACGCTGGGTTTATGTCAGTATGTGGATTTAAGTATTTCCAACATTGTAACTATAACTGTTCTGTCTCCTGTTCAGTGCACCATTTTGGGCGTGCAGTCATCATGTTCGGGGTGCCGTATGTTTACACACAGAGCCGCATCCTGAAGGTCAGAACTGTCTACTATACCCTCTGCCATTTCAAAATAAAAAACAACACATTTTGACCAATGAACATCCAACACACACTGCCAGCATACGCTCAGTTGCTTAGGTGTATCACCTCTGTAATCTCAATGAAGGTCTCTTTGTGTAATGTAATACAGTTCAACAGCACACCGAACTGCATCCTCCACAACCACCGTGCTCTCTATTTTTATTTTCTTCAGGATTGGTTGATTAGACTGCCTTATTTATGGTTAAGTGTACTTAATACAATTGTAACTTGAACTAAAATGGTACTTTTCAGGTCCTGAAAACGTGGAAACATTAAATAAGTGATGAGGTTTACAAAATATGCAATCTGCTTGATTGTAATGTTGATTTCCCTTTTTATTTACATTTCCGAGCTCATTGTACCTTTACAAATCCCATGTCCGTTCCCTTTCATGATGGTGAAGTCATGATTTGACTCAGGTTCATAATATTTTCTGCATCTTCGTGTTTGGTTTCAGGCCCGGCTGGAGTACCTCCGGGATCAGTTCCAGGTCAGAGAGAACGACTTCCTGACGTTCGATGCCATGCGTCACGCAGCCCAGTGTGTGGGCCGAGTCATCAGAGGCAAGACCGACTACGGACTCATGATCTTTGCTGACAAGGTACGTGATCCTTCTGCCAGTGTTCTCTCATTTGACCCTGCAATACTTTGACATGAGTATCTACACATTATACAATGTCCCAGCCTCCCTGTGCTGCACATGACCTGTTGGCCTGTCCCAGTCCATCCACAGTCTTCTGATGTTAGCGTTGAAGTAGCTTCACTGGAGCAGTTGGTGGCTTATTGGGTTATTTCTCTAAGCAAAGATCAAACAGTATGTGATGTCTGCCTCCTCAGCGGTACGCCCGAGCAGACAAACGTGGGAAGCTGCCTCGCTGGATCCAGGAGCACATCACAGACGGCAGTCTGAACCTCACTGTGGACGAGGCCGTGCAGCTCTCCAAACACTTCCTGAGGCAGATGGCCCAGCCATTCAGACAGGTGAGTCGCGCTGCTGCTGCACAAGAGCAAAGCCTGTGTTTGAAATGTCTTGCTGCTGTCCTGGGTAGTCATCATGTCTAATGTAAGCTTACATATAAAGGGCATTTATTTGATTCTAACGAAGCAAGTTTATATATTTGCTCGGGGTTTTAACCCAGAGCACATGCATGTACTTTAAAGTTGTCTGATTACCTGCACTGCTGTTGCTCTGGTTTTTAATAGAATAATAAGAGTATACACTGTACTGCACTCAACCTTTTACTAAAAGGGGGAAAGATTTGAGCTTATCCAGTTAATCAGAAGTTAATTTTGACTGGGTTTAGATACAAAAAAACAGGAGATTGAAAAACAGTCATTTCACTACCTACTTTATCCCACGCAGTTTGAACATGTAGCAGCTTTCTACTCTAACCCTTATGTCACTCACAGCTGCAGAGTGAACAGAACCAGACATCCATAGTAGTGTCACTAAGCAGGACACTGAAAGTCTGATCCTCACACTGATGTCCACCTGTCTGTCTTCTCTCCCTGCAGGAGGACCAGCTGGGTCTCTCTCTGCTGACTCTGGAGCAGCTGGAGTCTGAGGAGATGCTGAAAAAGATCAGTCAGATCGCTCATCAGAGCTGAGAGTAGCATATATGCAGTGGATAATGTCATCACCGTGGCAACACCCATAATGGGATCAGCAGTATTTACAATGGCATCCTGAAAAGCAGAGAAATAAAACGATTGTTTTGTGACTATGATAGAGCACGGTCGCCCAGCAGAGGCAACATAGGTTGTTATGGGTTCACTACATCAGGACATTCAGACTATGGGTCAGGAAATCAGCTCATCACTAAACAAAAGAAAAATAGGATGGAGTGTTTGTCTTTTATACAAATGTAACACATTTAGTGAGATTCAGGATGTCTAAACTCTAAACATCATTAGGTCAACACGTTGCTTTAACTACAAATCAAGATTCCTCTGGGTGTCACTGCGGTCATAAAGCGTCTGTCATACAGACAGAACGACTTAGTTTCCTCTAACTGTACAGTCCCATTTTTTACTGAATCTGTTTTCCACCAGGATGTCGGAGAATAAATGTTTGTATCTAACAGAGGAGGACTTGTGTTTCCTTTTCATGAAAGCGTTTGAATCTTAATGACATCTTTCATTGAGGAGCTATTCAAGCTGGAAATTGGTGTAGCAGCCCTTAATAATAAAGAAAACACAAATTGTCAAACTCTAAAAGACATAAAACACAAAGCAATGCCAACAAATACACATTTCTTACATCTTAAGGTCATTTATTTCAGCTCAGGTTTGCAAATATAAAATACAAACATATTTACCAGAATAAACAGCATCAGGAGATATATTCCACTTTCTACATACTTCTTTCCCCATTGTATACGTAACATTCTCACACGTGTTTCATATCAAACTAGCTTCTACAGGTACTAGTGTGCGCGTTCAGCCCTACATCCTCTGCCACAGCAGATAATCAGTAGTTCTCCACCGTGGGAAACCACGTCATCAAGTATGTAATGCTGTTTTCAGTGAGGGAAGATTTCCAAGCAGCACTCTCTGTTTTTGCGTCCATGTCTTTGAACGTTCCAGAGGTTTGAGTATGCATACAATTATAGTTATTAAGTGCTTTTAGTCCATGCTGTGTTGTAGTCATATCACCAGTTGGAGGTAAGTCTTTCTATAAAAAGATCACAATGAAATGACATGTTAAATTAAAAGCTAGTTTACTATTTTCAATAGTATGATGCAGCTAGTTATGGATTTCAGGCCTTTCAGAGAATGAGCATCAGTGACAGACATTACGTTGGCACCTTAAATGTGTTCCTCAGTCACACTCAGCCAGGGTTACTATGGAGATAGATCCAGGCCAACAATGTTGATCATGTGAAAAATAACAATCTGAAAGTTTGATCCTGAATAAAAGTAAATTGAATGTTTTAAAAAAGATAATATGAAAAGGTTTTTCAGGTTGAATATTATTTTTGATTCAGTTTAGGAATGAATATGAATTCCCACATTGGATATTTGTTTCAGTTGCAGTGTTATATGGGCAGACTCGTGGCCCCTTGTGTCTCTGGGTTGCCCTTCAGCTGCTAGAAGTATATCTGTCTGCTTTTGGCTCTGGACACATATTGTCATGTTGGATTGTCAAAGCTTGTCTGACACATTTCTGAACTTACACACAAGGATAATTGCTGAATGTGTACAGCATAGAGCCTTTTCTATACAGTCTTGCTCTAACATCTGCTGTATGTCATGGTTTCCACTTTCTTTGATTTGACAGCGCTCAGAGTCAGAGATCCTTCTCCTGCCTTTGAGCTGGTCTCAGATTTGAGTTAAACACCGACTCAGGCACACAGCAGTACTTTTGTTATACACTTTTCTGAATAGAGTTCGAACTCTGACACATAATTGCTGGATATGGAAGTGTGCACTTTAGTACTTTAATATTCAAGTATTGATTGATTTACCACAGCTTAAGAGTTTGATTGTCAGTTAATATATATTCATATATTTTTGATCAATGTGCAAAAATATCCATATTCAATAGTACAATTTAAAAAATCTTATATGTGTTCATTTTGTGCAGCTAGTTTGTTTTTATTCAAGTTTAAAAAAGTTGGTCCTTATTCTCGTAGTGTGGAATGTCAAAAGTGGACTGGGTAGCAAAGCAGCTGAACAACATGATCAGAAGGACCTGCACATCATAAAGGCAACACACATTTAAAGAACTCAAACAGTTCCAACGTCATAGCTTCACTTCTCCCTTGTAAACCAAATGCAACAGTATTTTATATTTTGACAACGCATCATAGTTTTGATTATCGTGCAAACAACTTTACATTTCTGTGAATTTATAAAAATGTATAAACATGATCAATCTTAATGTCGATACGAGTGTTTGTCTCCAGAGCATTTAAACATAAATAATGTTGTTAATAGAAATGTTACTAATATGAAAGATGAAATTCTATTGTTAATCTGCTAATGACATGGTTCAAATAAAGAAATGAAATATAGAACACTGTTTTCTAACAGTCTTAGTCCTGGTGAGGACATTTGGAAACTGAGTTCAATAAAACTAGACATAATGAGATGACCTCTTCAGTGAGCAGGAAGGAAGGAGATGTTCTAACCGCTTTCTGGAGACAATTGTCATCACCAGAGACAAACATGTCATTATTGTGCTAACTGAAATGTTCTCAATAGCTTAGATTACATCATACATTCTTTCAATTAGGAATATTTGTACACATTAGATTATTGACAAAGTCTGCAGTTGCGACAACTATCTCCAAAAGTGGGGAATCACTTTAGTGTAGAACACCTGATGAGAGCGATAGCTGTGTGTGTGTGTGTGTGTGTGTGTGTGTGTGTGTGTGTGTGTTGTGTGTGTGTGTGTGTGTGTGTGTGTGTGTGTGTGTGGTGTGTGTGTGTGTGTGTGTGTGTGTGTGTGTGTGTGTGTGTGTGTGTGTGTGTGTGTGTGTGTGTGTGTGTGTGTGTGTGTGTGTGTGTGTGTGTGTGTGTGTGTGTGTGTGTGTTAACTGGTACCACCCAGTGAGCCTCTTCTCGTCAGGCTCTGTGTGCTGGAGCTCAGTCCTCGAACATCTGCCAAGCGGCTCGACTGAGGAACAAACAGAGACACGAGGATGTGAACGTGGGACAGTCAGAGGCACCAAGTCTCTCAAAGAGACCGGAGTTAAAACCCCTCTGCTCTACTTGTCTTTCTCACTAGGCAATGCATAACCAGTGAGATAACAGCTGTTTGTGAGCAGCAGCATTACAGGCTAGCTAGCCTCTGCACCTCGTGTCCAATATTTCATTTTTATGGCCTAATTTACTAGGATATTTTAATTACATTTTTTGACAGTCTATATAGCATGACTTTTCATTTCTTTATGATATACTACAATGTGACTTTTGGATGAAAATGGAATGGCTGTAAATCCCTGTGTCTTCATGAGCCACAACATGTTTCATGAGAATTATTATGATTATTTATGAGTATACTATGGCATTTTTAACTAAACATTTATACCAACTATACTTTATGACTAGGATTTTTACAAGGCAGACCCTATTATGACTTTTCGTATGATTTATTAAACTGACTTTTTCTTACATTCGTTATGGTATACTAGATTAAAGTTGTTTATGATACGCTATACTGTAACTTCTTTATGACAATTAAAGGCATCCTCAAACTCATACACTTTTACATTCTGTGTGGCCGACTACACTATGACCTTTTCATGACATTTTAATGAAATAATCTAGTTTTAATTTGAATGATATGATATATACTAACGTTTTCATAACATTCTTTATGGCATACTATGACTTGTAATTTGTTATGACATAATGTCCCCTTAAAGGTGGGGTAGGTCATTTTGGAGAAACCGGCTCGAGTGCGCTAGAATTAGAAAATACACGACCGGAAAAAATGTGCCACTTCCTCACAGAGCCCCGCCTCCAACACACAGGAACGCGGCTCAGATGATTGGTCGTGCTTTTTACAGCACCACGGCTTCCACAGATGATGTTTTTTTTATGTATTTTCTGTCAAAGCACTTCAGATATTCATTGCTATCGGGATGTTAAGAGCATTCCATGGAATATAACAAAATGTGTATCTAGAGCCGGTTTCTCAAACTTACCTACCCCACCTTTAAGTTTAAGGACATATTCTAGTGGCATACTATATGAATAGTTCTTCCTCAATTGGTCATATTTTCTAAGTGTGTTTGATAATCCACAAAATGAACATTGTGCTGTGCAGACACATCACAACAATCACACGCAGTTACTACTCATTCAGGTCATCGCTGTTAAACCGAAGGAAACATCCACAGTGTTCTCACCTGGGCCTCGTCCTGACTCTCTCTGTCCCGGTCATTCAGCACATTCAGAGAGTTCGCTCTCTTCATCCTGAAACAGGGAGACAGTAATAATGAACTCTTAAGGGATATCATATCATCACACACACACACACACACACACACACACACACACACACACACACACACACACACACACACACACCACACACACACACACACAACACACACACACACCACACACACACACACACACACACACACACACACACACACCACACACACACACACAGACACACACACACACACACACACACACCACACACACACACACACACACACACACACACACACACACACACACACACACAACACACACACACACACACACACACACACACACACGTTCAGAATGAGTTGTATATTAAATAGGAAACCTTTCTTTTAAAAATGAGGTATCCACCATTTAAAAACGAAATCACTTTATATGTTATCTTCTTATTCACATTGTTTGTTTGTAAAATGATTAAACAGGATTCCTTTGACATAAATCAGGGTCTGCATCTGTGTGGACGAGCTATGAGGCGTGTACGGGCTTCAGCTACAGTGAGAGGTTAACATCGTGTCAACAGAACAGTACCCAGCGTTGCTCTGAATATTGTCCTCCATTCCGACTCCTCTCAGCTTGCGGACCAGCTTCTCGCTGCTCCTCCGTATCGACTCTCTGAGTTTGGTGAAGGATCCGCTGCGCCTCAGGTTACTGAGCCCGTCCTGACCCGCCTCACCGTCCTCTGTCCCGGACCAGCTGGGACGACCGTCCCCTGGAGGACAGACAGCAACAAAGCAGTATGAACAATAACAAGGAGCAGTCTGCAGCAGACCTGGCCAGACAGGATCCACTCCGGTTGGGAATCCTTCTTGGATTCTTTCCAGTATTTCTTTGTACTATAAGCTAACTTCCTCGTGGTCACTGACGAACACTTGGGGTCTTTTAAAGGCACTTGACAACAGAAGTGCATTCCCTTTAACAGCAGTTACGGAAAGGTGACCTCAGTTTCACTCAGATTTGATTTGCTTTGTCCACTTGTGTTAAACCTTTCTATATTTCTCTGCAGATACACACACTTCTAGTAGGCGAGTGATAAATAAGAGTACGAGTCCATCATGGGACAATCCTACTTATTCTGCCCATTAAATGAGGCTGTGGAACTTTTGAGAGAACGTTTCTCTTCTAAACTAAATGTCAAATGTATGAGCAATTCAAACCCCCTTTGCTCACTTTAGTACACTTGGTGGCTTTCCTTTTAAAGCCTTATTTGGTCTGATATTAATATCTATTAACTGGGACAACGTCTGCACTATATAATAATGTGTATTTCAATTTCATTCAATTTGCCAACTCAAAGACTTTAACATGAACTGTAATAAAAGTGACTGTGCCTGTGTTCTCACTACCAACGTATTAGTTTAGGATCGTATGGGAAAACAGAACTCTTCTTATTAAGCACTCAAATCCAGATATCATCATAACCGATACTTTTATTTGGCTTTAACTGAAACACCTAATCAAAGTAAAACATTAAGAGTTATCATTACTTTCCAAAAGGCTCACTGTAAAATAAAACTTGTGCTTACAAAACAAAAACCCCCAGCAATATGTACCTTCCACAGATCCAAAGTCCTTCTCATGTGCTCGGGTCAGGATCTCTTTGTACAGAGACTCAGCTTGTCTGTATTTCCCCTGCTTCAGATAGCACGATGCCTGAGAGGGAACACAGGAACAGGACAACAGATGAGTTCAGGGGAAAGTGTACAAAATCAATAATGGTTGTGTGGTTCCATTAGACTGAAGATCTTGACAGTAATGAAGTCGTTGAGGAAACAGGGAAAGTCAGAGGAGCACCAGAACAAATCTCTCACCAGGTTGTTCTTGGTCTTGGCCACGTTGGCGTCGTCCGGGCCCAGCTTGCTCTGGTAGATGTGCAGAGCGCGCTCGTAGTACTGCTCCACCTCCTGGTACTTCCCCTGGTTCTGACACAGCAGGGCCAGGTTGTTCAGCTGCTTGGCCACATCGGGGTGATCAGTGCCCAACACCTGGGGGGGGGGGGGGGACACAAGATACACTGAGCACACAACATACATGATTCTTTCCAAAGCCATCAGTGTCTGATGCTGAAGATGTATTAAGATCATTTACGCAGAGCTAGAATCTTGAGGATGACTTGGGAATGAGCCAGTTTAATGAGCCAGTGTAATCGCCTCATTCAGCCAAAGACCGTGCAGACGTGTTGTAGTAAAATGAAAGTCTTCAAACTTATTTCTTCAAGTAAAGATAGCATAACTCACTCTTACAAGAAAGAGTTCCACTTTCTCTATCTATTGTACTTGTAGTGAAACCCTTGGTTAGAATAAATGCCTTTACATCAAGATGTGTAGGAGATATAAAGGTTTATGGTGCATACATCTCTGAAGAGCAAACATTTGAATCATTTGACTCTGAAGGCTTTCGTAAGAAGAGTAAAACAAGAGAGTCCGCTCACTTTCTCTCTGATCTCCAGAGCTCTTTTACACAGCGGCTCTGCTTCTTTGTATTTGCCTCTTTTCCCATAAAGCACTGCCAGGTTGTTGAGCGTTGCTGCCACCTGCACAGACAAACAAAAACACACGCGTTCATCATACACACCAGCTCAGTGAGTCTGACCTGAACTACTGAGACAAACCACATGTTTGGGTTGTATAGACTGCTCACCCACAGCGACAAGACTTAAATATATGTTTCTACTAATACTAGTGCACACAAGATGTGTTTAAAGGGCCCATGTCATGCTTCTCTGGTTATTACCCGTCCCCTTGTGTTCTGTAGCTTCTGCATGTAAACGGTCTGCAGTCACAAACCCTCAAAGTGCACCCTGTAGGGAGTAACACTCTAACACAGAGAAGAGCTGTCTGTGCTGCCCCAGAACGCCTCGTTGGACATTTCTCTTTTCCCATTGTTTTCTTATCGGGTATAGTGACGTTACGTTACGTCCGCGGAGCCGTTACGCTTGGACCAATCCGCGGACTTCCTCACACACACAGACTCGGCAGGATGTTGCGAGACTCGCTGCTGCGAGGAGCGGACACTGTGAGCTGGCTCACTGGTGTGGGGTCGGCGAGACAGCGAGACACCGCGGAACTCAGCCTGGGCACACACACAAACTCCCAGCCGTCTGCGTGTGTGTGTGTGTGTGTGTGTGTGTGTGTGTGTGTGTGTGTGTGTGTGTGTGTGTGTGTTCGGGCTGGGTTTCGCTGTCTTGCAGACGGCCACTGGGCTCACGGGGGGGGGGGGGGCAGGAGCTCCATCAAGCCGTGGAGCACAGAGAGTGAACACACAGACTATACAGAGATGCTGTGAGAACCAATGTGAGTTTGGAACATTGAACAGTGTAAATGTATTCTAGTCGACCTCAACGATGGAATTATGACCAGTAGAAATGATACCTTTTAAGTTTACAAACAAACACAATGATAAGTGAAAAGCAAGTGGAATAAATACCAGCAGCATTTGTTCCAGGTTATTCAGTATGTGGCGGTAATTAAAGTGTGTCAGTGGGTACAGCAGACTGAATGAATTCAAAGAGCAGAAACTCACAGCGGGATGGTCCATCCCCAGAGTCCTCTCTCTGATGGCCAGCGCATCGTTCAGCAGGCTGGCTGCTTCTTTGTATTTGTTCTGATCTCTGTAGAGAAACACACACTGCACTTATTGTCACCTCAGACTCAACTTTTGATATGATCACATCGTTTTGGCGAATAGAGCTGTAATGCTGAATTAGGTTTTTCATTCCTTCTGTTTTTATTATAGTAAGACCTTTAATATTATAAAAAGAGTCAAAACAATGAGTTTGTAGTTAGAATAGTATGATATGCTGTTGATGATAAAGGTTGATACATAAATACACAGCAGATCAATGTTATACAATGTTCTATCCAGCATCGTTAACAGATGGGAGACATTTGTCAGTTAACAATGCAATTCAAATGAATTTGCTAGATGTCATCAATACCAGTGACCTTATCTAATTGTGGTGTATAATCTTTATAAAAGTGTTCTGTTGGTGACCTCACCTGTACACCAGCGCCAGTATATTCAGCATGGTGGCTACGTCTGGGTGTGTGTGACCTGAGGACTTCTCTAGGTCTTCCAGAGCCTGTTGACACACACATAAGCATTGGATCAGTACATAGGGATGACAGATTTACACGATCACTCCTGGCTTTTTGATCATTTGAGCAGATAAAGATTAGAAGTTTCAACCCAAGAAAGACACAGAGATCCGGAGGCTTGCAAAACGTGAGCAGCTCTTTAAGTTGCTGTTGTTTGGGCTCACTGCTCACTGTAGGCTCACGGCTTCTATGTATGTCATATCTGTGACACTGCCATCCGATGGGACCTTCATTCAATGAGCATATTGGAACATTATTACTATATAAGGAGGATATGTTCTTATGTTGATTTAGTGTTTCTAATGGACATCCTGATACTTCTCAATTCTTCTCCTCTTTTCTACTAATGAGCTCATAACAAAGTTCAGCTGTAAAACTTTTAAAAACGGAATAAAGCGCTGTCTTAAGCACCAGGGAGGTTTGCAACGTTGTGTGTTCCTCATTTGACACAAGCTGTGAACACATTGTATTAAAGCTTCAGTGTCATTTCCCATCTCTATCCGTACGTAGTGGTTTCTATCTTGGAAAGACTGCATTTCTATCATCATCTCTCTGTCCTGATCCCTAGGAGGATTGTTCTCAGCCCCGCAGTGCACCTGGGAGCGATTACTTTGGGCTGATCTAATGCAGAGGGTGAGGTTGCAGTGAGTTTCCAGAAGAGGCAGTGGATTCAGGGACTCAAGGAGCCAGAGCTAGTGCAGTTTAAAGGTGAGGCTCCTCCCACCTGTTTGCAGAGCGGCACAGCGACCTCGTAGCGGCCCTGGGAGGCGTACTGGATGACCAGGTTGTGCAGGGTGCGCAGCCGGGCGGGGATCTCGTACCCCCCCTGCTGCGCTGCCGCCGCTGCACTGCTGTGGTGAGGCTGGGACACTGAGCAGAGGGCAGAGACGCTCAGCTCAGATACATGCACTATTTAATACTAGCATCATGATATTTCAATTACATTTCATTAACAACTTTGTATCCACCCCACAAACATCATGCATTACATGAAAGAACATCATGTTGTTCTTTATTTTGTATAAAGCCATGTTCACACTCAGCTCTCTGAACACATTCTGCACACATTTCTACATATTACATATTACATGATTACCTATCATTACAACCTGTCTTGTTGGATTGTTTCTGTTGGCACCACCACACACCAAAGCAGATTCCTTGTATGTGTGAACGTACCTGGCAATAAACTTGATTCTGAAGTAAACATTTGATTCATGAACTGATATTGTTGTGAATGATTTAACACTTCTTTTCAAAGTGTTGTTGACAGAATGTGACTATATTGGAGCATTACATCAAATATAAAGACGAGGTGTTACTCGAGGTGCTGTTATACTATACATCCATACAAGACAATAAATACATTCCCAACTTGCTTTTAAAAAGAAAACATTTAGCTGGATGAGGAAATGGCTTTTAGATTATTCTCACTGGCTGACATCATGCATTTCTGTGAAGAGATGCCATCGTGCATTATTACACAAGACAGAAATGTGACAGCAGACCTGGAGATGTCTTTACTGTGTGTGAAAACGCTAAATATACCCAGCAGCAACACAGTTACACTCTTCAGTGTATCTGCTACACACCTCTATGAAAACAGAGGATGTGTAATTCACTCACACACATAAACAACATGTGTGATGTATAGCTAATTAGAACATTAAGAGGATTCGTTCCCAAAAATACTTTCGAGCCGTTTTAGTTCTGTTTTCTGAGTGTTCTTTTGCCGACCTGACAATCTGGATGAATGGAAATGTACATTTATGTTGTGAATGAGTAACAGATCTAAAGACTAGAGTCTTACTCTGTGACTGCTCCTCATCCTCAGTAGGAAAGAGGTCATCCAGGGACTCTTTGGTTGAAGACGCGTCTTTGTCATCCTGAGGTGAGGAAGACACATTCAGCAAACAACGCAACTGCGGACCAATTACAACATCATATATATATATATTTACACTACACAGCAGCAGTGGTGTCAATTTAGATGTTAAACTAATGGACCACGTTAACAAACAAATGAATTTTAGGAGTTGTTTGAGCTCCTAGATTTGAATACAAGGCACATTGATAACATGGCTCAGTCTCGGTGCTCTTATCAAGCCCATTTCAGCAAATACACTGATTCATCACCAGTTCATAAGTAGCTGGAGGACACAGTGGATTTGTTCCCCTCAAGAATGAATCAAGACCAAGCTAAAGCTAGAAGTGGTGAATAGTGGCCTTTAATTCACAATGCAAAGGTGTTGCTATATCTTCTAGATATATAGATGTAAAAAAGTATTTCGGCTATGTGTTTGTCAACTGTGTCTTATTTTTTCAACCAAAAATGGGCTTCCATACAATAAGTCATTAAAGACTTACAGGACAGAATATATAATAGCATATACCTCAGGCTACCTTCCATAACGAGCTGACAGGTCTGGCAGGTTCGTAGGATCATTTGTTATTTAAAGAACTACATGTAGTCATAGTAAAGTCTTCCTGAGTACACACACACATATTAGTGTTTGTTGTCTGCTCACCAGCTGCGGCTCGTCCAGGTCGTACTTGCGTATGGAGGACATGAACTGCAGGTGTCTGTTCTGCTCCTCCAGGGTCACCACCTCCTGCTCCCTGTCCTGCAGGCGCTGCTGGGCTCCTGCCAGCTCCTCCCTCAGCCACTGGTTCTCCTGACAGAAGCGCCGCACCTGGGGGGCACAGAGACATAGAGAGAGGACACAGGAATGAGAAAGGGGAAGTAGAAAGGATGTAGGGGAGAGAACGGAACATGCAGACAAAAGACAATGAGGGTGAACAGGGAAAGGAATGTAAGGAAGAGAATACATGTGGACAGAGAGAAAGAGGGAGGAGGAGGAGAATGATTGGTTGGAGATGAAGGAATAAGTGTAACAGAGGATCAATGAGTGAAAGGGGGTTGGAAGAAGGATGTTTGGTTTTGAGGAGAAAAGCATGAAGGAGGAGGATTTGAGAGAGTATACTTTTCTTCAGGGTTTTTAAATGTAATGTCCTGCAGAAACGTACCTGAGCACGCAGCTTCTGTTTCTCCGCCTCCAGAGAGCCCAGATGAGCCGACAGCGCCATCATCACCTGGAGGGTACAGAGTTCAATCTAAAACTCTAACGTCATTTGATAATCAATGTAATTCTTCTTTGAACGGAGCATTCCTTGAGACAAAGATTTTCATTTAGGATGAGGTCTTTACTGTGTCGCCTTTACTCTTCCCAATGCGGTGGTTAATCAGAGCTTATTTGATGAAAAGAGATGCATAGCTTTGCTGGAATGGGCTTGATAAGAGTATTGCGACTGAACCATGAAGTCAATGTTCAGTCAAATCTCACCTAGGAGCTAAAACAGGCTAAATGACTCCATAAAGCTACACATTTCAAAGGGATTTATTTGTGTTTGTCAGTGAGAAACACCCCTTTTAAATGTTGGCCCATTAGTTTCAAATCAGAAGTGGCACCATTATTAACAGCTACTGTTCAAAAACTTGTTTTGGCCCATAAAAAAAAAGCAAAAGCTAAAAGACGCAAAAATGCTGCGAAGAGCTAAGAGCATCTCAAAGAGCCTGTGACAGCATCCCAACAACTGTTGTGCAATGAAATATTGGGCTACTAGTCATCTCCAACCGTCAGCTTAAAAAAGAAGGTGCGATACCGTTCCGTTAAATATCAATCATTTCGAACATCGCGGGGAAATTCCTTCGACTCATTTTGAAGTTTTGGGGGAAGCCGGAAGTGACGTCAATGCGGGAACGCTTCACTGTGCGGCGAGAGAGCCAAACACGGACAAAGTGTGTTGTCATGCGTAGAAATGGTGAATTACTGAGTTTAGGCACGTTAATAACGTTTTGATGAAGTTGACTACAGTATATTCATATTTGTCAGTGCTTTCATGTCAAGTCGGCGAACATAAACATAAATGATCGTGGTGAAGATCATGATTACATTAGGATTACAAATCGGTAGTGAGAGCTACTGAATTTCCTCCAGTAGGATGTGATATAAAAACAAATCGATTATTTTTGTAGTTGTAAACTCAAGTGGATGAAACTACATTTATTAGTGCTTTCATGTCAATTCGGCGAACATATGATAGATTAAATGATCGTGAGAATGATGATTAAAAATCGTTTGAGCCGGTCTGCATTTCCTGATGAGAAAACAAACCGATGCTTTTTGTAGTTGTAGTACACCAACATGAATTAAACGTGTGTTTTTTTCACCACAATGTTGGGGAAATTAATGGATAAAATGCACGGATTATTATTATTATTATTATTCTTATTCCCACCAAAATTAAACTCTCATCGCTGTCTGAGCTTGCTGCTGTGTGCACCATCGTGCGTTTACATGCAGATGCTGGGATCCTGAACGGTGCAGCTGGAGCGCTGTGCCCGCAATGACGTCACACATCATTTGGCGGGACTTGAAGAATCCCCGAGAAGATCCAGAAAATGGTCAACATTGAAGGGCAAATTAATGGTTATCAAAGTACAAATATCCAAAATCAGTTCAGTAACGGTTTTCAAGGGGACAATATTTACTCAAATTGATGGGTTTGGATGATGGGGGAAACTCGTGTCACAGGCTCTTTAAAGTACCACAAAGAGTACGTCCCTATGGATGTCCCTACCTGTGCCTCGCTCAGCCCCAGCTCGATCCTCTCCAGTGATTGGCGGATGATGCCGCTCTTCTCCTGCTCCACGCTGCCGCTCTCAGGCGCCGCCCGGCTCTCCAGCGCCTCCTGCAGGTTGTCCAAAAGACTGCGGTTCTCTCCTCTCAGCGCCTCCAGCCCGGCGATCACCTGCTGCGTGTTGCTCAGAATCTCCTCCGCCGAAAACATGGCTGCCACTCTGAGGTTCCCTCTCTCACAGCAACTGACCTGGGAGCAGCACAAAGGGGGTCAAACAATGGAAAGTCATTTTAGTGGTACTCACAGTTATGGTAGTAAAAGAGAGAGGGAAATACCGTAAAAGCAGGGCTTGTGGTATTAAAAGTATAGTAGTAGAATATTAAAGATTAGTAGTAGAAATAATAGGAGTAATACAAGTGTAATAGTGGCAGTAGTAATAACAGTTGTAATAACAGTTGTAATAACAGTTGTAATAGTGGAAGTTAAGGGATAGCAAAAGTAGTCTTTTAAAATACATTGGATACATTTTGGCCAACAGTGGATATAAGATTGTATATATTATTAAGTAGTTATCATGATGACTTGTGATTACTTGGGAAAATGTTATTTAAAAAAAGGAAGTACATATAATAATAGTAGCAGACGGCCTAGCAGTAACAGCGTGTCAGTCATTGTGGTACTAGTTGTTAGAGACAAAATAGTAGGCTAGTATTATTAATACCAGTAGAAGTGGCAGTAGTAATGCCAGGTAAAGTGTCAATTCTCTGAAGCCATTAAAACTAGCTGCACCTTTACCAGCTTTGATTATAATGATTGATCATGAAAGTGTTCTCAAAGCTGGTGAAGGTGCAGCTAGTTTGAATGACTTTGTATTCTGCAGGGTAGCTGGTGGATTTACTCCAGGTGGAACTAAAGTCTGATTCAACACTTGATTACATTTCACATCATTCATCCACATCTGAACAGTAACTAAATGTATTAAATACATGTAAAAGTACACTATTTACCTCTGAATTGTACTAGGGTAGAAGTACAAAGTAGCAAAACATTTTACTTAAGTACAGTAGGCTACATAGTAAATGTACTCTGTTACTTTACACTTCTGTTGAGATATGAAACACGCATTACTCTGTGTGTTCTGTGTGTACTGTGGGCGGAGCAGCAGACCTCCGGTCAGTGCAGCAGACCTCCGGTCAGTGCAGCAGACCTCCGGTCAGTGCAGCAGACCTCCGGTCAGTGCACCATCGTGTCGGTAACAATGTATTTATCACGCTCATGTTTAACCTACAGCCTCTCTCCGATAATATAATGACGACTGCGTCACATTGAGAGACATTTCTGTCCAGTTTGTTGTGAAAACGTCCTTGGCTATACTGGACAATAGTTAACAGCTCTCCTGTAACAGTGCTCGATAACTATTGGGTCTGAAACACGATGTAAACACAGGCAGACATGAAGGCTTCATTCAGATCACATCCACAGTTATTTATAGCGTAACGCTACCTGCTAAATCCAGGCTCCAGGCTCCGGCGGCGTGGTGGCGTCTTTTTGTCCACTCTGAGCTGTTAATATTATTTTAATTTGGAAAGAGGAACCGGTATACAGCGTATCATTTTCGCGTACAGTGTCTGTCAGTTATTTACTGTTGGGACGGTGATAAACTAGGAACTGTTAAAGATTCACCTGCTGCTCCTCGGCGCTCAGCTCCTCCTGTCATCACAAACTCATTAGCATTAAACTAGCATAACAAGACATTTCACTTCCGGCTTCACCTTCAGAATAAAAGTCTTGTCAACGCACATAAAGGTGCATTTAAATGATATGAAGCGAAAAGTGCTTGATTCCTGGAAATATTCAGTAAACATAATAATAGGTTTATGGTAAAAGAATAGTTTGCCTGCATGGTATGCTATACATTTGTCAAAAACTGTTTTCAGTTGTGGACATTAAGTACACTTACTTACTTGAGTACTCAGTTAAGTACATTGAAGTAAAAGTTGTAATTTACTTGATTATTTCAGTTTTTATTAATCAATCAATCATTCCACTCTCCTATATCTCAGGGATATATATTCAACTTGTTTTGTCCGACAGCTTAAGTTATTATTGACTTGTTGTCCAATGAAACCATGTTTCTGACACTGAACAATTGTGAAATGGTCCTTTGAGAAACTGTTCTTATCTATTAAGCCAGATATACTATTTAACGAATATATTGGATCAGATGAAAAAACTTTTCACAAAGCTGTTTTTCTGAAAACTCATGAAAAGTGTACTTTTGTAAATATTCTCTCCCAGCACAGTGCATAACAAAAGAATGATCTTGTAGAATATGATGCATAGCTGTAGCAAAAACAACATACACATCTACAGCAGAAAGTCAGCTGCACAATGCATAATGCCCAAAAAGCTTTTCATATTGATTCTTCTTCATATTAAAGTGCATTTGCTGATATTTAGGCCTTCGTATATTTGAACCCTGTTTGCGTGACCTCCACTTGCAGTGGGGCATTTTTACAGTGAGGTATCTGAATACTTCTTCAACCACTGCCCTTTTCTGCACCCTGTCACTGTTCAAAGGTATGGAATGGGATGCACCAATAGGTAAACCAGGATAAATCAACCATAAGTATTTCAACTATAGTTTCACTCACTGTTCTACAAATGTATGGATCAGATATATATTTTTTCATGCTTCAATTCAGGTTCAACTTTGTGTTGATGGCCAGTTTATCCCAAAACAACAAGACATCAGCACAACTCCAAAATGAATCAATACTAAAATAGGCAGACAAAGTTAGTTAGGTTTGACTCACGCAACACACTGCTTTTATTCTGAAGACACAGGCTCAACTTCCTGTATCTTTCCAGTTATGTTCACGGAATTTGACGCATTTGAGGAGCTTACCTGATCCCAGATTTCCCACAATACACTGAGGCACCAGGGCTGGCCCGGGCTGGCCCGGGCTGGCCGTGATGTCCTGTCAGGGAGGACATCTATCTGTCGGAGAGACGAACTGCCTGCAGGAGGGGCACACACATGAATATCAGTTTGTCAAAGACAGATTATCAGAGGTTTTCTCGAGTGTTGATAAATAATAAATAACTTATTTGATTTGAACAGTCCTATCACTGTGATTACATGGAAATGTCACCATCATATTAGGTTGTACATGTGGCCTACATGTTTATCAATCAATCATCATTTTAAAATACAGATGTGCTCAGTTTAAAAACATATAACTGAATATTATATATTATCTAAACATATTTTCTGATGCACTTTGTTCCTTTATATTATAGTGATGCACCCATGTCACAGATTAGCTGGTCTGTTCAACCAGATTAGCTGGGTGCTCCATGTGTGACCGAGAGGTCACAGGGTGGGGGCAGCAATAATCTTATTCATTTCACATTAGCCGGCCAGTGGACGGACCAGGATTTAGGAAACAATCAATTCAAGTTACATTTAGAATTCATTACAGCAGCATTTCGTGGGAGTCAGTGGGCCGTGCCCGTGGCCCAGCACAGCAGCCTAAGTACAGAGTACAGATCAGTAGGATCTGAAGAACAAACACCGTGAGTGTTTGAGTGTATGGGGGTCACAGTGTCGAGATAAATTCTGTTACTTGAGAGCTGATCATGACACAATGGTTCCCTCGGCACAAAGATGTAAAAGTAAATGTAAAAACTGCACCTGGACATCAGTCGGTTGTTGGCTGTGTGAATTCTGCTTCACAGATCCAAACTTACACCCCACTGTTGGACCAATTATAATATACAGCTCACCAGAGCCCTTATCTCTCTAGGGCTCTGCAGCTCACTATACAAAATACTCCTGGAAACCATCAAGACGGTATTTGTCCTTTGCTTGAGTAAAATCATTTTACAATAATAATAATAATAATTTATTAACTATTACTATTAATTATTATTATATATATTATTATTTATTAATTATTATTATTTATTTATGCTACTTATCCTTTCCATTACATTTTGGCGATAAATATTCTCCTTTTTTATTGCACTACAATTGTCTCACAGCTGGAGTTGTCATTCAGAATACAATTGTATAAAAACATATTAAAATAATATGTATTTTATTTGTATATGTTTAAAAACCCAGAAAAATATAAAGTAGTTAAAGCTCCACCGCTACAATATAATGATCCACGTATTTAATAATATGACAGGGGGCCATTCTGCTGCAGATACATACATTTCATACTTTAGTACATTAAGCTGGACATTTGCAAGACTTTCATGTGTAGTGGGGTGTTTCTTTTAGGATGGCATCACGATATCCCTTCATTCAATAATACAAATGTTTCCCCCAATACTTGGTTTGGTTGGCAGATATTCAATATTAGGAGAATGTGGTCAGTGTTAGAACAACAAAATAACTAGAACAAAATATCCCTGTGACTTTTACACAAGAGATTTGAGAGGTAGGCCCCTGGCCCAGAAACCCCTGGCCTGCGCCTTTTACGCACAATCAGCTGTTCATCCTTGCTTTGACTCCTTTTCTTTTGAGTTTCTATAGATGGCGCTCTTTCCTTTATCCATTCAATCATAGGGCTTGTTTGCTGTTCATGCTAATGACCATCAGATTATACCTACACTAAACCTTCCATACCTTCAAAAGCATATTCACAAAGACTCTTCTAAATTATCTACTAAATACTAAACACTAATTCACAGAGAGAGATACAGCCCAAACAGGAACTATTAAGAGTGTGTGTGTGTGTGTGTGTGTGTTTGTGTGTGTGTGTGTGTGTGTGTGTGTGTGTGTGTGTGTGTGTGTGTGTGTGTGTGTGTGTGTGTGTGTGTGTGTGTGTGTGTGTGTGTGTGTGACAGTTATATGAGCGGGTTGATGGACGGCTCAGCTGTCAGGTAGCAGAGGAGCTCCAGCAACTGACTGTGGGAGAGCAGGCCAGCCATATAAGGTCAACGGTCCCCGGGGAAACTCCTTTCTATACCTCCCTCCAATACCTGCTGCTCACCACATATTCACGGGTAAATAGATCGGGGTCAGAGGACCAACTTCTCTCTGCAACTTCTGACAAACTGCAGGGAAGAGATTTCTAGATACTAAAACAACCTTTTTTTGGTCTGAAGGTCTCGATTGTCAATGACAAACCGTACACATTGTATTTCCTATCAGCACCTACAGGAAACAAATGTTCAGTCTTGCAAAAAAATGAATGATGGGTGTTATTCAAACTGTAAACTGTTTCATACATTTGTCATAACACACTGGAAGATTGCTGGATGAAACCAACTGCTCGATAGAAAGAAAGACACTCTTAGTCAATGCATCCTAATGACATGCAGCTGGGGCAGTGGATGGTGCTAGGGAAGAGACAAGAGGGAAAGGGAGTTTTCTACACATTCACTTTGAAGTTCCTCAGTCAACAGTGCTCAACCAACCATGTGAGATAAAAACATATGCATCAGTATATTAAAACACAAGTATTCATCGTATGTGATAGAAAATGAGGAGATTCGTTATAAGCTGTCTGCTATGATTAGCTTCTGTATACCTGTGCCAAAGGGGGACGGTTCTGACTGCTTACCACCGCTGCTGTTGGGCTCCAGTGTTGTGGTTGATGCAGGAAGAAGGGTAAGGGGCTGGCAGCAGGGGTTACTAGGTCCTACAGGAACACACACAACCCCAGGATAACATTAGAGTCAGCACTACAACTAGGAATCATGTATTTGATGAGGGGAAAGGGTGATGCCTAAATATTCCAAAACAAACATACTTTTAAGGGTTAGATATGATTCAAAACTGTATTACTGTCATCTACATGAACAATGATTTATGAAGAATGAAAGATCAAGTGATAAGGGAAATGCCTTGGGTGTTTTATTTAACTAATGGATTATCTGTTCTGTACAGTTGACACTACTGAGATAATATACGTTTAGAAGTCTGTCTACGCTGAAGGCTGGAGGGAAACCAAGCTGCTTTAAAGTGTTATCTCCTGAATGAAAAGCTAAGCCTTGTTAAATTAGTTCAGCCTTCTAAATCTCTTCATAAACCTCGCTGACCTTTATAATAACTGCTAAGTCTTTGTTCTTAGGTGCAGTATTATTGAATCAATAACTCTAGACAAGTCTTCAATGTACACTAATGTTTGATTCCCTTTTTTTTCATTTTATTTTCTTCAATAATAAATGTATACAGTTATAACAATGCTTTTTCCAACGGATATTGTCTTCCACACACACACACACACACACACACACACACACACACACACACACACACACACACACACACACACACACACACACACACACACACACACAATATCAGATTCTAAACAGCAGGGTTGCAGAAGGATGATTACAACTTGGAATTTGTTTATTTAATTCAGATGTATTTCCTTTATCCATTCAGTCATAGGGCTAGTTTGTTGTTCATGCTAATGGCCATCAGATTATACCAAAAATAAACCTTCCATACCTTCAAACACATTTTCATGGTCCGAGGAACAGGGTACGCCACGTGTGTGTGTGTGTGTGTGTGTGTGTGTGTGTGTGTGTGTGTGTGTGTGTGTGTGTGTGTGTGTGTGTGTGTGTGTGTGTGTGTGTGTGTGTGTGTGTGTGTGTCATAGATATGTTGAAGAGCAAATATATATACTACACATGTAGACAAGATGTGCATTACTCAAATAGGACACAGGTGTGCATTGGGCACATAACGGCATATG